TGTGATTTCATGAGAAATTTTATTTGACCGCAGTCACTTTATAATTATTTTAATGTCAGCTTCTACCTTACCATGGTGAAGACCAACTCTCGCCTACTTATGGTATATGCTAACATTGAAATATCCTTAAATAGCTTGACCTTGTAGTTACTCGAAGCAAGAATCAAACATAGGTACCAGGTATTTGTTGCCTCGATAAAAATCGCTTGTAGGCCTATAGGCAAGACTACGAATTTAACCAGAAGTCTGCTAGCACAATGGAAAATTAACAGCAAATGCATGCTTGGTGAAAAAAGTGGCCAACATCGCAGAAAGTTAGCGGAAATGAGTCCACATTACACGCGATCTTAGTTAGAAATGTGACTGCATGTCCTGTTCTGGTAACGTGACTCTAGCTGCAGGTAGCATTCTCAAGAAGAGTTGACACTGCAATATGGTCGGTTCGTAGGTTATTTAAGGTTGCTGTATCGTATTCAGAAATTATGCAGGACCAGCTGTGAAATACACATGAGGGGGTTTTAATAAGGCAAAAAGGTAACTCATAACCTATTTCTTGGCGAACTGAATGTCTCGGTCTAGCAGGAAGCAGTCTCAGTATATATCAGGTTTCGGTTTTCAATCTTGATCAAAATACTGGATTTTTTTATGAAGGGCTTTAGTTGGTTTTCCTCAGTCTTTTCAGATAAAATGTGAAGTTATGCTTGTACGTAACTATGTAATTAAGCGCCATACCATGAAGACGTATGGAGGGGTGGAAGTACAGCTCCGCATCTCTTGACCTCGGCAAGAGATGGAGGTGAGAGGGCAGCTTCACACACCCGCAACTTTATCCTTCCGGAAAACAGCCCCCGTATACGTTAGATAGGAGAATGGGTGGGCCCTAGAGCCGGTATGGTTTTTATGGAAAAACGAGAAATTTCTATCCTTTGCCGAGAATCGAACCCCAGTCGTCCAGCCCGTAACCTAGTTGCTTTCCAGAATAATGCATATTTCTCATCTCCCAGTAAGTTCTATACATGCCGCCTATCTAATCTATTATTGGGGCACGCGGTAGCGTAGCTGGTTGAGGCACTATGCTACAAGCCGGAAGTTGCAGTTTCAAGTCCCGATGAGGTCATTGAATTTTTTTTAATTGATCCAATCCTTCCAGCCGCACTATGGCCCTCGGCTCGACTCAGCCTCTAACAGAAATGAGTACCAGGAATTAATTAAATAATTTTCCTGGGGAGTAAAGCGCGGCCGGCGCGTAAGGCTGACAACCTTACCGCCATGTTTGAGCCGATTGTCTAGATAATGTGAGACCCTCAACGTCTCACAACCCTAAGGGCCTTCAAGGCCTGGTACAGGGATAGCTTTACTTTACTTTATTTTACATTTTATCTAATCTATTATTATTAATCTCCTTAACTATACCAAGAGAACTGTACAATTTCTGAACTTGGTAATTTTTTCCCCCTTGGCACTACAGCCCCAGTGGACCTAGGCCTACCTTCATGAACTCCTCCGTTCACTTCGGTTTTTCTAGATCTTACACATTCGGTAGGACCCCTTGGGCGGGTGATCAGCTCGTCGCAAGGCCTCTACCTGTACACAAACAGAGAAAAACGCACACACACAAACCAAACATCCATGCCCTGAGTGGGATTCGAACCCACGATCCCGGTTTCCAAGTACATGCCTTAGACAGCTCGGCTACTGTGACCGAACTCGGTAATTATATCTATGTAATTTTCTTCAGCCTCTCCTTCTAAGTTTCAGATATTCTTATCAGCAGTTTCTTCTCAGATAGTCTCCTTATAAATATAGCTGCTACGTTTTGCATATACACCAGGCTGACCAGATGTACGGCACAGTGTGACGAAAATATAAACTCGTGTGTCTTATTTAAATTCTGCGGCACGAGAAAGCGAATGCGAACGTACAAGGCGCTGAAAACATGCCAGCTACACGCAACACCAATCGAGTTTGTGTATTTGTTCGTGATGAAGATGAGTAAAATGTTGGACACTTAGACAGAACGTGGTTAACTCGGCTTCTCCCCCTCCCAAAGACATGTTTAAATAAGAAACAAGCTCTCCGAGACGTGTGCATGTCTAGTTTATAGGTTTCCACGAAATTACGTACAAGCTACCATATTGACGTGTTACCAGAATGAAGGACATGTGTTCTATTCTGTCTGCCACAGAACTCCACACAATTTAGAATACCAAGTTTTCAGTATTTATTTATTTATCTATGGCTCTGTCTACAACCCTTTGTTGGGCCTGGGTCGCTTTTTCAGTTTTTGATCTTTTACATAGACGGTAGGACTCATTGGATGGGGGATCAGCCCGTCCAAGGCTGCTACCTACACACAGGACAGCACAAGCACAGAACGAACGCACACACAAACATCCATGCCTTGAGCGGGATTCGAACCCATGATCCCAGTGTTCGAGCGGGCGAAGACAATTCATGCCACAGACCGCGCGGCCACTGTGATCGGAAAGCTTTCAGTATTTTTTTTTCTTGGCACTACAGCCCCGGTGGGCCTAGGCCTACCTCCATGAACTTCTCCGTTCACTTCGGTTTTTCTAGATCTTACACATTCGGTAGGACTCCTTGGGCGGGTGATCAGCTCGTCGCAAGGCCTCTACCTGTACACAAACACAGAAAAACGCACACACACANATTACAAACGTATAATTTGTATTCTGCCGGTCACGGTAGCCGAGCGGTCTAAGGCATGCACTGTCTTCCCTCGCTTGGAAACCGGGATCGAGGGTTCGAATCCCACTCAAGGCATGGATGTTTAGTTTGTACGTTTGCATTTTTCTGTGTTTATGTACAGGTAGAGGCCTTGCGACGAGCTGATCACCCGCCCAAGGAGTCCTACCGAATGTGTAAGATCTAGAAAAACCGAAGTGAACGGAGAAGTTCATGGAGGTAGGCCTAGGCCCACTGGGGCTGTAGTGCCAAGAAAAAAAAATTGTATTCGATGGACTAATAATTTTACTCAGTGCCATAATATATGACTTCAAGTTATTCAGCTAATGAAGGAATATTCTGTCGTTGAGTAATTCGAAGTTTCATCACCGTCACCACAAAAAGTCTGCTGTTTGGCTCCTCTCCGAATAGGTTAGCATATCGTAATGATTATATGCTAAGATCTGAAGTTTTATGCAGGATGAGTATGCTGAAATCTTCTCTGGCGATCAGCCTTGTGAGTGTTCAGATGAAATCCAATGTATCCACCCTGATTATGGAGATGATGGAACTACCTGGTTTATTGAAGATTTGAGGTTTCACAGCGATGACTATGAAAAAAGTCGTCTTGTGGGATGTGGCGCCGTTTAGACATTGTGTTAACCGACGTTTTGGAGTAAAGTATCACCTCCATCTCGCTACAGTCTGCAGCCACCTGTTCACACTGGTTCATCGCTCGCGGATATCTTATACCCTGAAGATGGAGGCGATATTTACCTCCGAAACGTGGGTTAACACAATTTCTACACGGCGCCACATCTGGCATCTGGATTATTGGTTTTTATCTCAACAATGACAGGGCTGGTCGCCTGAAATATTTAACCCATGTTCGTTATAACATTGGCTAACTTACAGAATAGAGGCAAGTTATGAAACAAATAAGTAAATGGAAGGATTTCTGTTGGAAAACCCTCAAGAGAGGAGATTTCTTATGAAAGTAGGCATGGAGCAGTAAATAAAGTTCAGTTGGATCTTGATGAAAGATTATGTTACACTACTCGTATGAACTGAATTTGCATTCTTCAACTAGTGGAGTATTGTTAAGACTGATTAAAAGAAGTAAAAACCTAACTAAATTTGAAAGGGGAAGATAGAAAAGTCTATGAGAGCCAGATTGAGATGTGTGGACTGAATCCAACGAGCAGAGGACTGGATTCAATGACAGAATTTCCTTAACACGGTGCTGAATATCTGAATTTCATACAAGCAGGGAAATTCTGCAGAGCTGAGCTAGTAGAAACTTTCCAGAATCGATTGCATATAGTCTGGGCTACTGATTGTGTTGCTAAACAAACAATGTGAAAAAGGTAAAGTTGTGCCTGTAACAGGCCGTGGAGGCCCATAGGGATGTGAGAGGTTGAGGCTCCCACATTTTCTAGACAATCGGCTCTCAGATGGCGGTAAGGTTGTCAGCCCTACGCGCCGGCCGCCCTTTACCCCCCAGGAGGATTCCTGGTACTCATTTTTGTTAGAGGTTGAGTCGACCCCAGGGTCATAGTGCGGGTGGAAGAATTAGGTAAATTGAAAAAATCCACCTCATCGGGACTCGAACACGCGATCTTCCAGCTTGTAGCATAGTGCCTCAACCAACTACGCTACCGTCTGCCCCTAAACAAACAATATATACATAAAGAAATAAATCTTCTGGGATGTGGGGCCGTGTTGACCGACGTTTCGGAGGAACGTATCGCCTCCATCTTCAGTGTGATCTTCATCTTCACCGCCGTGGAAACCTCAAATCTTACATAATATATACATACATACATAAAAGAACGCAAGTTTTTAAGAACAGTCTTCCCTAGGGAGTTGATGAATGAAATAGCTAAATAAAAATACATTGTTGAACATTTGTAAATATGATATCAGTTTACTGGTGAGTTAGCTTTATATTAAGTGAGTTAATGAACTTGTCAGTGAGGTACATGGGCGTACCATAGTTCAAGGGGATCTCCGACTTCCGAACGCGAACCCAGTATTGTGGGGGCTGTTGTAGGTTTTCTCTCGGTATTTTGGTTTCGTATGTCAATTCTCATTCCATCCTCTGCTCCATATTCATCTGTCATCCGGGGCTGATAAAATGGGTCCACTAGTGGCCTATGTGGCTTGTGGACCCAGTTTCACTCAACCCCCTACCCAACAAACTCTTTACGTCCTTGTCTGCTGACAAAGCTATCTATATGGTTAGTTGGTTACTGAATTAATAGTGGGAATGCCAGTTAGGTGTATAATTAAGTTAATTGGCAATTTTCTTGCAGGAAAATGGCGGACTCGGGCAACAGGAGCAGCCCGATAGCGGAGTGGTTCAGGGGTCGGAGCCTCCTGGTGACTGGGGCCACTGGGTTTATGGGAAAGGTGTTGGTGGAGAAGCTGCTGCGGTCATGCCCAGACATCGCAACCATATACTTGCTGATGAGACCCAAGAGGGGTAACGACGTGCGCATGCGTCTGGACGAACTACTTAGTGCCACGGTAAAGCGTCCATCCTATTGTATCTAAGTAAAAAGTAGAGTAAGTCCTTGTGTCTTAACACAACGCCATGCGTATATCAGCGTCGCAGGTAGAAAACTCCAAGCAGTCTACAGAGGGGACTGGTGGAACAGTAACATTTTTGGAGACACCTGGCAATAACCTCAGCGGGGTTAACGACTTTTCTGACTGACATTTTTGAGAGCCCCTTCAGGAGGTATTGGATTAGTGTAATAAGGAAGAAACACCTATTTGCAAGTACCTATGACCTATGTCTCAGTAAAGCCCTACATATTTTATCGTGGAAATACCGTCGTTAAATAACCGACGACTCAAAAAGTGATTTGGGGATTGCTTCAAGCACAGGCCGTTTCTTTCCCCTAGAAGTAGCTACTCTAGCCACCAAATCAGGTGAACCCATTGCCAGTGTGGATGTGGAGAAGAGAACAATCCTTAGTTCTGATGATAATCGAACCTCAGCTTTCCAGAGACCAACAGTTTTCACTTTCTTTCTCCCTTCATACCTTTTGTTTCATTTTTGTTTCTATTTCCTTCATGTCCGTCTCTTTCCCAACTCCCCATATTTATTTCATTCCTTCCGTTCATCCATATTATCTTATCTTTCTTCGGAATCTCAAACGTTTAATTCATAGATGGCCTGCTGTAGTCCTACTCATTGAAGCAAGAAAATAAGTTAATTCGCAACGTCGGAGATGACTGGGTACTGGTATAAGCTGAATCAGACTTTACGCTGCCTTGTGTTGAAGTACTAACCTACAGCCCAAATGAAACAGCTCGCATACTCTTGCATTTTTATTATTTTGCAGATTTTTGACTGGCTGCGGAAGGAACACCCTGAGGCTCTGAACAAACTGGTACCGGTGTGTGGAGATATAACGCTTCACGAACTGGGGCTTAGTCAGGCCGATCAAAAGATCCTGGCCGATAGTGTGTCCGTCGTTTTCCATTCTGCGGCTACAGTAAAATTTGATGAGGCTCTCAAACTGTCTGTTGGAATGAACATCATGGGCACGAAACGAATTGTCCAACTCTGCCACAAGATGGTGAAACTGGAGGCAAGTTCTGTTAGGTTCTGCCTCTGTGACCAGAGTCTTCACAACTCCGGCACAAGAAACTGACTCTGGAGAGCTTTACCCCTAATTGGGCAGATTCTGGACTTAATTTAGTTATCAGTCCGAAATATTTAGTTTCCTATGATGAATCGACACAGTTCAATCGGTAAGTAACTGTCTGAAGACCAGGGTTTGGTTCCTGTTAGAAGAGGGACTTTTTGTTTGTCACCATTTACAGTGGGCGAAAACTAATATAAAAGCTGTAAATGAAAGGTACTGACAAATTTTGGGCACGAGTTCAACATATCAAAACAAGAAGAAATGTCTAAACCAACATGTGTCCGGAAGCATTTAATTTGTGGGTTACAGCTGAAAGAACACCGTTCAGCAAGAATGCGTGAACATGATATTTTTGTGATTGTTTGGTAGGCCCGCATGTTTTGCCACTTGCGTTTACAGGCAACCACTACCGAGATTTCCTCCTACATGATCTGCCAAACCTACTGGAAGATGAACCAGTGGCAGTAAGAGCACGCATGTGGTACATGCATGCTCGTGCTCCGGCACATTTCAGCCGCACTGTGCGAGATGTTCTCAGTAACATCTATCACGACCGGTGGGTAGGTAGAGGAGGAGCCTCTCCATGGCTTCCCGGCTCTCCAGATTTTAATACTCTATTTTTACTCGTGGGGACACCTAGAGCCCCTTTTTTTATGCAGCTTCTTATGAAAACGAAGAGACACTTCACGATCGCAGGGCGTCTTATTTAAGAACATGGGCAACTTCACCTTCACCATTTAATTAATTTTATTTCAGTGTCACTTTTTATGAATTATGGATTTCGTTGAAAGTTATTTCATCCTTGTTACGTGCACAAACTTCCTACAAATTGATCATCTTAGTAACGCGCCATTAATAATGACTTTCATACATAGTGACATAGCGACCAGGCTAAGAGCTGGAGGACCATGGAGTCGAGGTTCGATTTCCGATATGAGAAAGAATTTTTTTCTTTTCATCGTAACGATTTCTTCTCTGGGACCCACTCACCCTCCAACACAATGAGTACTGCGGACTAATTCCTCGGGGGTAAAATGGCAGGGTCGTGAAGCTAACCGCTCACCTCCAACCAGTGCCGAGTTTAAGAAATATGCTGTTATATTTCCACTCCCCTTTATGTCCTCATGTATCGATGTTTGATAAGCCCAGGGATGACTAGAGCAGAGATGGCGCAATCGGTTTAATGTACAGCCGACGGGTCGGAGTCTGAGTCCCGGTAGGATCAAGAATTTTCTCTTCTCCGCGTTGTCCAGACCAGATCTGGGACCCATCTAGCCTCCTATGTAATGTTTACCGGAGGCTCTTCCCCAGGGGTAAAGCGACTGGTGAGTGAAAGTGACTCACTTTCATCTTGCGACGAAGTCAAGAATAGTATACCTATATCACCATTCTCACATACGTCTTCGTGGCGTAGTGCTTAATTAATTAAGCACAGGGACAACTTTACCTTTAATCAGGGACGACTTTACCTTTTACGTGTTAAATGGTGTGCTAGGCATTCCGTAATTATTATGCGAACTGTTATTTAGTTGTAAGATTTAAGGTTTTTACGTCGGTGACTATGAAGAATGCAGTCTTCTGGGATGTGGCGCCGTATAGATCTTGTACTAACCGACGTATCGGACTAAGGTATCGCCTCCATCTTCAGGGTGTAAGAAATTCGCGAGCGATGATAGAGCGTGAGCAGGTGACTGCAGACACGGCGCCACATCCCAGAAGGTGGCAATCTTCATAGTCACCGCCGTGAAAACCTCAAATCTTACAGAGTGTTCCTCTATGGGGATCCAACTCATCGGCACAGTCTGCAGCCACCTGCTCACGCTCTATCATCGCTCGCGAATTTCTTATACCCTGAAGATGGAGGCGATACATTCCTCCGAAACGTAGATTAACACAATATGTACACGGCACCACACCCCAGAAGACGGCATTCTGTTATTTAGTTTCTCATATAACTCATTATTTACCTTTCCCAGGCTCTTGTCCACGTATCCACGGCATATTGCAACTGCAACCGACAGGAAGTGCGAGAACTGGTGTACCCCCCGCCTGCAGACCCAGAGAAGATAATGCAGTGTGTTGAATGGATGGAAGATGACCTCCTGGCGACCATCACACCCAAGCAAGTTGTCTCCCCATTAACTATTCTAGTAGAGCTATAGGCTTTGATGGCCAAGCAGGTACTGTCATCCTATTGGCTATCAACTGAGGGCGTTTGCTATAGCCGGAGTTAATTTTGCATGAATAGACATGGTCGTGGATCCGATGAAACACATCCCGCGCAGTGAAGTTCTTTGAATTTCTTGCCGCACTTTCCAAAGAGAATTCGAATTAGGATCCTTCTGAACCTTCTATCGGTTGGTAGCGCCATAGGAAATGAGGGAACTCGCTCTTGGACTCACTGATCATGTCTCATTTGACTGTCTTGTGACCCATGTGCCGTTGTTTTTTTTTATTGCTAGTGGGGTGGGACTAAGTCCCTTGTACTGCGGCCACTTCTGGCCTACTGTACCAGCCCCAGATGATAGGTGAGGGTGATTGTGGAGCAATTCGTAGAATGAAGATTGGCAGGGGAAACTGAAGTACTCCGAGAAAACCTGCCCCAGCGCCACTTTGCCCACCACAAAACCCACTTGACCAGACCCGGCACCGAACCCGGGCCGCCGCGATGGGAAGCCAGCGACTAACCGCTTGAGCTACGGCGCGGCCCATGTGCCGTTGTTACAACCGAGAAGTACGAGAGGCGTCCGAAGTGCTCAACGAGTACGGAAACAAAAGAAAAACAAAAATAATATTTCTAAAAAATATTTTTTTCTGGATGGTTATCGTTCTGGTGGTCATGAAGTGTTTTGCCTTCTGGGATACAACGCCGTGCCATACACTGAAAGTCAACTGACTGGGCCAGTGCTGCCCAGGTCCCTACACGGACACAAGATGGCGCTACAACACGTGTAGACTGGCTCTCGGATCTATCCATTTCCCATCCTACGGCTACCAGAGATTCTTTCTAAGTTAAATCCGTTGGAGC